CTAGTGTTAAACAATGTTAGAACATGTTAAAATTTTAACATTTTTTAACACCAATGAATTCAGCAATGCTTTGCTTCCTGTTTCTTGTGATCTTGGCGAATAATGTATGTATCTTTGCAAAGCTGGTATTGGTTCAAATACACAATTCATTCTGCTGCCACCATGGGAAAGTCAACTGCTGTGCCCAAGAAGCCTGTCAAGGAAAAGGTGAAGAGCAAGGCCAAAGCTAAGGCTAAGGCTGCTAGCCAACCTTCAGTGGTTCACCCTGTGGAGGATAGCAATGATGTTTCTAGGGCAGAAGTTTCCAAGTTCATCACTGCCCTGAAGTACAAAGCCAAGAACCCAAAGGATCCACAAGCTCAGGGTGCACAGATGGTCTTGGAGGATAGGGGTCTAGATCAACATGAGCCTATATATAAATATATTTATATATTATGTGACCAATTAGACCTATACATTTTTGATTGATCTTCATCATGAAATTGTTGAACTCCAACATGCATGAAACCCATTCTGTTTTCATCATCAGTGCCATTGAAACCCTTGCCCTGCAGAAATACAACTCCATGTCGGCAAATGAGAAGAGGGGCCTTGTGGGCAAGTACATTGCTGGAGGTGGGATCAAGGGCAACCTTCAGCAGATTCTCTCCAGTGTGGAATCCAGCGGCTCCTCTAAGGAGACTTCATCTGAAGTTATTGAAGGGTACATGTCTCTAGGTAAAGTTGAAGTATATTTTCTGTTTCCACTAAACAATTTTTATGGATTATACATAACACTTAGGCCACTCCTCTGAGGAGTGATGCACAGAGTTAGCAGTTTTCTTTGAAGAGATCCTGAAGGTAGCCATATATCATATAGACACATATGTGTATATATATATATATACTTATTTTGTATATCCATTCCTTACAATATTTTCCAAAATATTCACACATATAGACATTTACATCCATGCGTATAGTCTTGCACCATCAAGATATATACATAAACCACATCCAGCATTTAAAACAGCATGCATTTTACATTTTCAGCTCAGGTCAGCTCCTGAGATCTTGAAGCACAATGGGTGGAGCTGGACAGATCTAGAGCCTGATGGCAGGACCAAAGTCTTTGGAGATTTGCTCAAAGACTGCTATGAAAGGATCCACCACTCAAGAAGGAACATCCTACCAACCCTTTGCTGAGCAAGTACTACTACATTCACCGACCAGAGCAAGCCACGACCAAGGAAGCAGAGCACCAGACATCTGAGGTCAGGGTTGACACAGGTGACATTCAGGTCAGCAAGATGAAGCTGGCTTTGGGTGACCAAGGTCCAGACATCAAGATTGAACCATTTGCTGAGTGCCCGAGCTCATGGAAAGTGGTGGGCAGTGCCAAGACCAAGGTGTCCAAAGAATATGAAGCTATCATCAGCCTCTTCAAGGATCTCAAGGCTATGCACCAGAACCCTAGCAAAGACATGGAGAAACTTTTGGATGATCTTCAAGATGGTTTGAACTGGGTGGGCAAAGCCCTTGATGATTTGCGTGTTGACCTTGCTGCTTCCAAGTTGGAAATTTCCAGTGACATGGACCAGGCAAAGGCCAAGGCCCTCTGTCAGAAGTTGACAGACTGGAAGGAAAAAGGAAGTCAGCACCTAGATGGGCTGAAAGCTTTGAAAAGGAGAATCCAGGCTCTCCTTGAAGGCTAAGCTCCTCTCAGGAGAAATCCTCCTCTAAACTCTGACTATACATGTGTTTTAGCAATACTCCAACACATATACATGGAGTTAAACTAAAGTTTAACATATATAGTATATAGGAAACAAATACATAAATATATATATATATTCCAATATACATACATATACAGATATATAGGATACAGGGTGCAGAGAAGGATGTAGCAATTTTGGAACTTAGAAGTGAAGCTGCAGAGCTGGTGAGCACAAGCTGGAAAAAGCTGCCTGTCATTGCCTGTGTTCTTGTTTTCCCTGGAAAGACCACTCATCAGCATATTCCTTTTTTTTTCTGACTGGACACTGCTAACAGAAGACTTGCAGCCTTTAACTTTGTTGAAGCATATTAGGTTCAAGCCACCTGCCCTCTCTGCCATTACTTTGTGCAATTGCCCTGAACCATGGATGCCAAGAGGCGAAGGCTTGAATATGTCAAGGGCATGGAATTGGCAGAGAACTTCGACCAGTACAAGGATTGGCAACTACTGGAAGGAGAAGATTCTCAAGTGATGGTTCCACCTCTAGACACAAAGAACATGGAGAAGAGCCAAACGCAGGCAGTCACTGACCAGGATGGTGATGAACAAGAAGATCTTGAGAGAAAGTAATTCATTGGCATCCTTTGCATTTTGCAATTGGAAATTAGCAGAAAAAGGTTTCTGCCCCAGGGATGAGCAGTGTTTGCTTTTCACCTCCCTCGCAACAAAATGGTGTGCCTCCTGCACTGAGCAGCAATTTGTGTCAGCCCCTGAAACACATTCCTGCTGCTCATTCAATAACAGCTGAGGTTTGGAGCTGCCACATCTCCTCTGAGGAGGTGCCACCCATGCTTCTGCTGCAAGCTTGTTTGTCCAGCATATGACTCACACTTTTGTGTCCACATGTTTTCAAATTGCAATTTGCAGATTATGGGGAACCTTTCAAGGAGAAAGCACAATGCACAATCTCAGCTGCAGTTTATGGCCCAGGTTTTCCTAGCCATGTTTTCAAAAAGTAAATTTGTTAGTGAGAGAAATGATTCTGACAGGCCTGACAAGAGACTCAGGAGAAATGTATCAGACTTATTTCTATCAGGTGCTATCAGTGCTGGAAGAGCTGCAACTGTGTTTCAGGATGCTGGGTTTGATGGGGCAACAGGTGTGGCAGACCTTGCTGTGAATGAGGGCAAGAATGCCCAAAGAGATTTGGTCAGAAAACTCATGAAAGGCAGTAAATGGCCACCTCTCTATGCAGCTAAAATCCCAGTGTTGCACCAGAAAACACATCAAGTGTTGGAAGAATCTATCAATATGTTGCTGCCACATGAAGTCCTGGCAAATATCATGTCCTGGAACCGGTACTCCAAACAGAAGGTCTTTGACAGGGCAGGGCTTTCAGCTTCAGCCAGAAAGCACTTTGAGAAAACAGTGCCTTTGTTGGGAATGGATCCCACCACCTGCATCCCTGTGGGGTTGTGGACAGATGGTTGCCCTGTCAAATGGGACAGAAGCCAATCTGTCATTGTTATTACAATGAGCTTCTGTGGCCAAACTGATGACATTTTCTCCAGGCTCAGAATTTCCTTGTGCGCCTTTTAGCAGCAAATATATGGTTCCTTGTCTTTCTCCCAGAACCTATCCAAAGGGGCTCTTTTGAGGAGTTCTTTCCCTACCACCAAGTGGCTTTTCTGAGTTTGCATGCTGCAATCATGAATAAGAAGGCTAAGGGCCAGTGGGTGGGCTCAGACAATCCAGTTCCCAACCCCTCCCTGGACCAAAAGAGCTGGATGGACCAAAGGGTCC